CTTTCCCCCTTAAAAATGCAAGTGCATAGTAGCAAGACCTGTACCATATGCAAATGATAGTAATAATCCTCTCTAAAATAGGATAATCTTTATTAATTGTAGCATGTACATATCAACTCACTTTTGTCCATACACAGTAAGTTTGGAGTCAAAGAAGTCTAAAGGAGAACCAATTGTTTATTAATGCAGTAGAGGCAGGGAAGGGATAATGAAGATGATATATTCACCTGACAAATATCTGGAGTACTCTGTATGTTCCGAGCACTGTGGCAGGCAGATGTGATCTCAGCCCTTGTGGGGCATATTATATATAGCACTGCACTGTCCTCCCACTGTTCATTGATTTGCTCGAGCGGGCCCAGTAACATCTCCATTGTGAGACTTGTTGTTACTGTGTTTGGCATATCGAATATGTCACAGGGAGCTTGCCAGGCTCTGCTGTGCGTGTGAGATTCTCTTGGTAGCTTGCCAGTCTCTCTGAGAGGGGCGGAGGAATTGAACCTGGGTCAGCCAGGTTGGCTGTGTGCAAGGTAAACGCCCTACCGCTGTGCTATCGAGGGCTGGAGCGATAGCACAGCAATAGGGCATATTGTATACAGGAAAAAAAATGGACAAATTAACTTTTACAGTGTAACATAACAAAGGTTGATCAAGGAAGAACTAAATTCTCCCACAGCACAAGAGGAACCAAAGCTGGTTTTAAAGAATTTCACCCAAAATTTCACCCAAGGGCCATGATGTGTGAGTTGAGGTTTTAAGCTGTACAAGTTTTTTTTTTTATAAAATTATTTATTTACTTATTTTTTATTTTGAATATCCATCCCTCCACCAGTGCCCATTTCCCACCACCACGGATCCCAGTATCCCTCCCTCCCCCCATGCCCCCCATCCGACCCTGCCTCTGTGGCAGGGCATTCCCCTCTGTTCTCTCTCTCCTTTTGAGTGTTGTAATCTGCAAAAGAGTTAAGCTTGATTTTCAGAGAGAAACGTTGGATGATTTACTTTCCATCGATCACTTTGTATATATAAGATGTTGTTGCGTGGCCGCATAAGCGGCCGCGCGGTTTGGAAAAAATGTCCTGGTTCCTGCGTGCCTAAGCTATACTTGTAGAGACTCATGGTCACCGGGGTTCCATCTGGAGAAGGCGTAAGCTGTACAAATTTGGTCAGTTTGATGGGAGGGCTAAAGAAGGTGAAAGGCCAGAGGTGTAGCTCAGGTGTGTGCCATGGCCTATGGGAGGCTTGGGTTCCACCTCCATCACCACCACTGAGCAATGCCATGGGCAACCCTGGTGGCAGGATCAGGTCCTGAGCACAGAACCCGCTGGATGGCCCAGACCCCAGCACACACACCCCTGCCTCCCCAGAGCCAGCCAGCGGCAGCAATGCTGAGTTTTGAACTTGAAGCAGCATGTCTCTCTTCAGGAATGCGGGGAAATTCATAAAGTCAAGGAAAGGGAGAGGGGTGGAATTTGGGGAGATGAGGAATGCGAGAACACATCTTTTTATTTATTTAATTATTAATTATTTATTGAATCACTGTGGGAAAAGTTACAGAGCTTTCAGGTTTAGGTCTCAGTCATGTAAATATCAAACACATTTCCCTTTACCAATACTTACTTTTTACCACGAACCCCAATAGAACCCCACCTCCCACCCCTCCCTATTCCTGTGAGGCAGATGAGTTCTAGTTAGCACTCTATCTACTTTGACTAGATTCATTGTTTCAATAAAAGATGCACCATTATTATTTAGATTTTACCACCCCCCCCCCCAAATCAGACATGCTGAAAAAGCGTTGTGAAATGATTTGCTTTCTACAGCTGGGTTCAAGAATTAAATGATGTTTTGGATTTCTGCTATTTTACTTATTAACCCTGGAAGTATTTCTACTGAGAGTCAGATAATTAAGAGATTGGTTTCTGTGCTCTGGAGTCGTGGCCGTGCCAGAGAGCCGCTCATGGGGGGCAACTGGTGACCTCGGTAGGGCGTGAAGGACGGACCGGAACGCCCCCCTTCCCATGAGGTTTTTGCCGCCCCCGACCCCCGGCTCAAACCTGCTGTCCACAAGGCTCCCATGCGGCCGCCATCTTTCTTTCCAGAGAGGAGAGGGCGAATGGGGCAACACCCTTTCCCCTCCGGGCAGGCATGATGGCGCGGTTTAACACATAGTCCGTTCGCTTTTCTGCTCCAAGCTGCTGGTTTTCTGCGTTAAGTCCTTGTGCTTCTGGGGCCGTGGCCGTGCCGGAGAGCCGCTCGTGGGGGGCAGCTGGTGACCTCGGTAGGGCGTGAAGGACGGTGAGAACACATCTTATGAAGGGCTTTTTAAACCTAATAAGGGATTTGTCTTAATGACAACAAGAAGTCACCAAGTGCTTTAGGTCAAGGATATCAGAATGATTCTTTCTTTCTTTCTTTCTTTCTTTCTTTCTTTCTTTCTTTCTTTCTTTCTCTTTCTTTCTTTCTTTCCTTCTTTCTTTCTTTTTTTGTTTTGGGGCCATTGGTGCTGTGGCTTATTCCTGACTTTACACTCAGGGATCACTTCTGGCAGACTCGGAGGAGCCAAATGGGGTGCTGGGGATGGAACCTGGTTCAGCCGTGTGCAAGGTAAGTGCCTTACCTGCTGTACTATCGTTCCAGCCCCAGAATCACGTTTTAAGACTATTTTGACTACAAAGTGGGAAATGAAGACAGGAAGGCCAAATAACATTCTGAAATAACAGTCTAGGTAAGTCATGGTCGTGTGAGCTAAGTTGGTGGTGGGGGAATTGGGAGAAAGGGAAAGACTAAAGTAATGTTTAGGAAATGGAGAAGGTGCTTGATTACATACATGGAGCAGTGGAGAAGACTGTCATTGGCTGAGAAGGGAAGCATAGGAAGAAGAAAAGATTTGGAGTTGAGTTCTTTGGACACACGGAATTTGAGGTAGGAATCGGGAGTGTAAGTATTGGGCAAGGGATGGAACGAATGTCTTTCAATCTGTACTGGGCTCTTAACTGTGGGTGCAGACTGTGATGTTCTGGTAAACCCCACAAACTAGCACTGGGTAGGGAAACAGGAGCCACAGCATGTCCCAGGTACATCAATAATCCTGAAGTCATAGTTTATAAGTTATTTTCTTTGACTGTAGCCAAGTCAGTTAGCAAATATACTAACAGGTTGGAATGTTTCTGTTTTTAATTTTTTTTCTTTCTTTTACTTTGTAAAGCCATCAAATCAGTAATGAAACTATTTTGCTTTTATTACTTTAGTTTTGAGGCCACACCTAGCGGTGCTCAGGCCTGACTCTGTGCTCAGGGATCACTCTGGTAGTGCTCAGGGGACCAAATGGGGTTCCAGGTATCGAACTCAGGCTGGCTGTGTGCAAGGCAAGCACCTTACCTGCTGTATTATCTCCCTGGCCTCCATAACCAGTTAAAATAAAACTGGAAATCAACATTTGAAAAGTAGTCATTAAAATGTAATCTACAAAGTCCTAAATTGCCTATTATCAATCACATGCTTTGTATTTTTTGACCTACTTCACAATAAATCTTTTCTTATGCTGTAAGTTGCTGTTTGTTTTGTAACCGTTTCTCCTTTTTTGATCATCTGTGTAGTCTATTAGTGGCTTTGCAGCTCAGACATTGATGTTCTTTAATCAAAACAAGTGATTAAACAGATGTTGGTCAGAAGAGAACCATAGTCTCGAACTTCCACATATAAAATACCCTGATATGGTTCTGGCAGAGTTGATGGTGATTCTCTCAGTATGCTTCCTTTTATCTGGTTACGAAATAGGAATGTGCCTCCAGGGTGGCTGGTCAGTGGTGTACTCATCAATGTTTAAGAGCTGACATGGCAGTTAAAAAAGAGCCTTGGTTTGTTGTGTTTGCCAGTTTTTATTGTGAAATACTTACCATTGCCAATTCTTAATTTATATATATATTTAATTTATATATATTTGGAAGGGCTGGAACAATAGCACAGTGGGTGGGGCGTTTGCCTTGAACGTGGCTGACCCGGGTTCAATTCCTCCATCCCTCTCAGAGAGCCTGGCAAGCTACCGAGAGTATCCTGCCCGCACGGCAGAGCTTGGCAAGTTACCCGTGGCATATTCGAATTGTCAAAAAGAGTAACAACAAGTCTCACAACGGAGATGTTACTGGTGCCCGCTTGAGCAAATCGATGAACAATGGGACAACAGTGCTATACATTTGGAAAGGGCAATACCCACAAGGTGTTAGGCACTGCTACATGCTTGGTACTCAGGAGTTGTTCCTGATGGTACTTGGGGGACCCAGTCCAGGCCTCCTGTATGTAATACACATGCTCTAGCTTACTGAACTATCTCTTCAGCCTCTACTGTTGCCAATTTTAAGAACCAATATGATTCACTAAAGGTTGATTAGGGGGGAGAATGGACCCAGTTGTTTTTTCTTGCTGGATCTAACATATTCTGGCACTGAAAGTGATTTGAGGGGTGGCCAGGAATGGGTATATGCAGAGGCAGTGACAGCTAAGGCTGTAAGAGCACTGAGTTCTGCCTAGGAGGGAGTTTTTACTTTCAAAAAAAGATTGATTCATTCATCTGTTGTCTGTCAAAGATTTTGATCTTTTTCCCTTTGATTAGAGGGACTGCTGGTATGAATTATACATATTTGTATATATAATATACGAATTATATATTCATATAATTATGCACACACCATTTAAGGTATATATTAACCATATAGTATGGTAATTTTATAAGTAAGAAATGTTTCTAAAATTGGCTTGCTTTTGGTGTTCAAAGAGACTGAGAACATTTTCTTGATTATATTGTGAGCCAAAGAAATTGAAACAAACAAAAAAATCCCTGTTTCATTTCAGTGCATCTGTATAATCTGCATTTTGCTATATCTCATGAGAAGTATTTTGTTTCCATCAAATTAGCAAAGCATTCCCTATGAAAGCAAAACCAACAGGCTGTATACTGCTCTAACCAATAATATGTTCAGAAAGAACAGAAGCAAAGTATCTCATTTTTAAAATATAATTTAATTTATACCTATTAACAGCAGTGTGCAAATGCACAATAATGACAGTATATTAAATAATTACTATTGAAATTTACTTTTAAAATATTTTCAACATTAGGCACTGGTGGAGTGAGAGCTGTTATTGTACACACTTTTTTTTTTAATTCTTAGAGGAAAAACTAAAGTTCCCTGTAGCATTAGGAAATAATGCATTTAAAATATTTAATGCACATATATAAACACATTATATCCATTAAAATCTTCACAATTCTACATGCACAGATAAAGACCCCTTTTTGAATAACTTGAACTCATAATGGTTATTGTAAAAAAATGCAAATGCAATAAAACACAATATAATACAATTAAAAAAATCAAATTTTAAAAGTTGTATTTATATAAATGTACAATACTTTTTAGTACCTTCTGATGTTTTTGGTTTGGATTATTTAATTTTAGAAATCTAATTTGAACAACTTTTCTTAATTTTCTGCTTCTGAATGAAAGACACTGAGAAAAAAATTTAAGAATAAAAACTTTAAAACAGAATTTGGAAAAAGTTTACAAAGTGGGATAAATACATTACATATTTTAGCTACTGCCCTGCCAAAGATTAAAATATCCCATTATCCTATTTACCTCTTATATAACTTGAATTTCTAGATAATTTTCTTAACTACCTCTTCTTATTTTATACAGAAACTCTGAGAAAAAGTGTAAAGATTTTAGATTCGTTAATAAGGTACAAAAAAAACCCCACTTTTTTCATTTGCAAAGCATATTTAAGGAAATGTTCTCTTCAATATAAAACCCCGAAGAGCTGAATTTAAGACATTTTAATAACAAGTTGGTCAATTATTGACCTGGAGTTCGCCTGAGAAGAATATTATTACAATTTACTAATAAGATCCAAATTCAAGCATTTGGCTTTATATTGTAATACTGAACTTTCCAAAAATGTATCAAAGAAAATAAGCCAGTCGCCACCTCCACCCCCATAAGGAATAGTAAAGTCTTTCAGTCATTATACAAATCACTTTTTTTTTTCTCTTTGGGTCACACCTGGTGATGCACAGGGGTTACTCCTGGCTCTGCACTCAGGAGTTACTCCTGGTGGTGCTCAGGGGACTACATGGGATGCTGGGAATCGAACCCGGGTCGGCCGTGTGCAAGGCAAACGCCCTACCCGCTGTGCTATCTCTTCAGCCCCACAAATCACTTTTTAAGGAAGAAAGTTCCTATTGGCCTAGAATATGGCTTCACAATTATGAAGCCTTGGGTTCTATCCCTGGCACCCAAAACAAACTAAACAAACAAAAATCCGTGTCAAGATAAGAAATAGATTTTATTATATCTTAGAATAATTGCTATAAAAGAACTACAAAGTATAAATTTCTGAAAAAAGAAATAAATTGAAAATGTCTTTCTTGGAAAAAAATATGCAACTTATTAGATACAAGAAAATATGCCATTACCATAGGGTAGAGTCAACTATGGGTCTGGCTTATAAGACTTAAAAAATTCACAAAAGTAATTAGCACCAAAATTGTCTAAAACTTCAAATAATATAGTGAAGTGATTCAAAGTCCAAGTGTTACATTATAAAAAAGTTACATTTAAATTGGGAAATTTTCCAGCAATAATAAATGTATTCTTTTTAATTTTAGAAAAATGTACTAGTTTTACTGATTTTCATCAAAATATTGAGACAGTGTATAGTGATTTATTATTTTCCATGGTTCAACCTAAGCAAGATCAATAGAAATACAAGTATATCCCAAATAATACAGAATTATCTTGTGGCTTCTCCAAATCCGGTGCAATTTTTGTTCACTGTTTCTTTCATTCTTTTTCTTCCAGAATGTTGTACTGGAACTCTTTACAAGACCTATATTGCCCAATTTGAATTCCATACCCTGCTTTTTTCTTTACTCACTTTCTGGTCAGCTTATGGGGACAGGTGTATTTAAAATTGGGCGCAGATCACCTCCAGAAAATGAGAATTTTGAATAAACTACAAAATGTGTCATTTCCAACCCTCTTATAATCAAGAGTTGAGTTCATTTTAAACATCGACTTAAAAATTTAATTACAAAACAGTACACAATTTGAAACAAGGCAAACTTTTCTGTTTTCTTGTAGTGAAATATATTAACCTCACTGATTACATTGATGGCTACCAAATGCCAAATGTATCTTACTGCTGCACATAAATAATAACAAGGCAAAGAACAGCAACCAGTCCAAGGGCTTGCAGGCCAAGGAACCACAGCATAACCCAAAAGAAAATGATTATTACTGGTTCCACAATTCTTTCACCAAAATACATCCTCGTGAAGCCCATGTCGAGCAGGCTTTTATTCAGTTCACCAAAGAGTGTTCCCATCTTTTTGTAGTCATCAGTAATCGGCTCGCCAGGACGGTTTTGTGATTCTTCAATATCCTTCAATTTAAAGAGGGGGACAAAACAAAGCAGAGCATAAACATAAAATGAGAAATAGGTGAATGTTTCCATGCAAAATGACTGTCATAGTTCTTTTTTAAATCTCTGAACGTGCTGCTAATCATACAGTGCATACTTGTTATTGTTCCTTTTCATCAGTGGAACAACTGTTCCTACTGTCAAGAGCCCACTTATCAAGAATAGGGAAAGCACCGATATATTCATTTTTTGTGGACTCATCAGTGACTGGATCCTGGTAGGAAGGGGAAAATTTCCCCTTATCCCACTGGGTTCTTTGGCTGGTCTATTGATAACACAAGGACACAAGACAGATTTAACAGGAGAAAAGAGAACACTTAATCTTGCATGCATAGAAGCTCATGAATGAGATCTCTGATATAACCCAAAGGTAATTTTCTACCTTTTAGACAAATTAACAATGCATTGAGAGGAACTAAAAGGGCAAATGAGCTTCAGGTTTGTACACCAATTTAGTGAAGAGCTAAGCCTTGTCTGTCATGGTCACGGTCCTCCCATTGTTCATTGATTTGCTCGAGCGGGCCCAATAACGTCTCCATTGTGAGACTTGTTGTTACTGTATTTGGCATATTGAATACATCATGGGTAGCTTGCCAGGCTCTGCCGTGTGGGCTAGATACTCTCGGTAGCTTGCCGGGCTCTCCGAGAGGGATGGAGGAATAGAACTCGGGTAAGGCAAATGCCCTACCGCTGTGCTATCGCTCCAGCCCTGTCTGTGGTGAGGAGAATGTCTTTTCATTTCTTGGTGCTGGGATGAAAGTATCCTTCCCAGGAAGATTTATTTCCTACTTTCTAGAAAACAGAGGGGGTTGGTGTCACTCATGTACTGGCTAAGTGTCTTCAATCAAAGCAACCCAAATTCAAAATAAATCATTTTGGAACATTTTGGGGTCACCTTTGCCAAGCTCCAACAATCCTCACTTGCCAAATACTGTTCTATCTACTGAAAGAAGGAGATGATTCATTTCCATCATTTTCTGCTTTCCCAGAATTACATAAAGACAGAAGTTTCAATGAAGACTCATGTATACATTGCTCTGATTGATAGAGATTTCAGAACAACTTTGTCTTCCAATGTCCTGTTTTCTTTTTCTTTTTTTATTGGTCAAAAAAGAGTTTTATTGGCAACAAGTGGGCAACTTGAAAGATGGTTGACTTGTCTTCAAAGCAACATCTGTCTGCACTTACAAGGAGGGTTATTTTTTTAAAAAAAAATTCTTTATTTTTAAATTTTTTTTATTAGTGAATCACCATGGGGTACAGTTACAGGCTTACGAACTTTCATGCTTGTGTTTCAGTCATACAATGGTCAAGTACTCATCCCAACACCAGAGTCCATTTTCCACCACCAGTGGTCCAGCATCCTCCCCACTACCCCCACCCCGTCCCCTCCATCCCACCCTGCCTCTGTGGCAGGGCATTCCCTTTTGTTCTACCTCTCCTTTTGGGTGTTGTGGATTGCAATAGAGGTAATAAGTGGCCATCATGTTTGGTTAGCCAAGCGGCACAAATGCTGGCCGACTTCGACCGTGCGTGTAGAAAGACTACAGCTCAGTTTCACGAAGACAATGTTTATGAGAAACAGTCTCGTTCCTGACGTTCCATCTGCTCTCAATGGAACGACCATCTCTGAATGCAACAGTTATGTGTACCTAGGTCGAGAAGTCAACATGACGAATGACCTGGCACCTGAGTTGTGCAGGAGGAAGAGAGCGGCTTGGAACGCCTTCAAGAGTGTTGAAGAAACAGCTAAGAGGACAAAGAACCTCTGGCTCCGGGCACATCTCTTTGATTCCACTGTTCTTCCTGCATTAACATAAGCCTCAGAGACCTGGGCCCTATGCAAGCAGGATGAGAATGCTCTTAGGGTCTCCCAAAGAGGAATTGAAAGAGCTATGCTTGGAATATCACGTTTCACTCAAATGAGAGAAAGAATCCAGAGTTCCGACATCCGTCGACGATCAAGAATCAGGGACACTGTCTCGTTTGCCAAGGTGTCGAAAATCAGATGGGCTGGACACATAATGAGATTTGGAGATGACAGCTGCACTAGAGCCATTACTGACTGGATTCCACAGGACGTCAAAAGACCGCGTGGCCGTCCACCTACAAGATGTTCAGATTTCTTCGTCAAGACCCTGAATGATAGGTTTGAGGCTCTTCGTGTTCCTAGAATGAATGGATGCCATTGGTCTACACTAGCACGTGACAGGGACGAATGGAGAGGTTACTGGCGCCCGCTTGAGCAAATCGATGATTAATGGGAAGTCAAGTGATCAAGTGATCATGTTTGGTTTATAGTCTACTTTAAGTCCACATCTCCCATCCCAAGCACTCCCTCCTTGGTGGTCCCTTCTCTATCTGAGTTGCCTTTCTCCCCAGCACGAGAGGCCAACTTCTAAGCTGTGGAGTAATCCTTCTGGTACTTATCTCTACTGTTCTTGGGTGTTAGTCTACAAGGAGGGTTTTTAATAGGAAAAGAGCAGGGAGAAGAGAGAGGGTGATCTACCAGGCTTGTGGGCTTTAGAACAAATTATGAACTCCTTCATGAGCTGGTCTCCTGACGCACATCATTTTATCTACACACATGTACAAAGGACAAAACAAGAGGACTGTTGCTTTTTGACTCCTGTGTGAAGGCAATGACAAGGCAAGTGTGCTTGACTAGGAGTTTGCAGTTCTTAATTTCTCTGGGCAGGTCTCCAATCCTTACAACTGTCAGTTACTGATTTCCACAATCTTGTGGAAAACAGGAAGGTGACTCAGGACTCAGATCTAGCTACCTCCAGCTGCCGAGGTTTGTCCTAGGTCTGTGTGGAATAGAGCAAGCTGACCTGAGAAGAAAATCCCTAACAAAAGTAACTATGTTGTACCTTTAGGGCTCCTCCCAGGAGAGTAATCTTTTACCCAAGATCTAGTTTGGTTTGGGGGCTCTACAATTCTGTATTTGAAATGTGAGTTCCACATCTCAGTTATTCTGGCCAATAAATTTCATAGAACAGTCTCACAGCCCTGAGGGCATATTAGGTCATGTAAGGAGTAGTGTTTCAATCTTTGATTTTTGAAAAAGGGAAGAAAGTAAAGAAAGAAGTAAATTGGAATTCTAGGTGAGAGCAATAAGAACTGCAGGTTCTACATTGACATCTTCAGATGGACAGGTTTGCCTAGTTCTTCAGTATCTCTGATGTCTTTGGGGCATTCAGAAAAACAGCTTCATGAGTGATAACATCTGTAGAGTATAATCAAGCTCTCCACTACCAGCTTGCCTGGTCTATAGAAGGGAACCTTTTGGCTTCTGACCAATATTAAGGCAACGCCCAAATTTTTGTCCTGTATTAATTAAGCTTCTTTATAGTCCAATCCTTTGACACTGCACTTTATTCCAACCATGTCTCCCCACCTATATACACACCAGTTTTTTTTTTTATTAAGTCATTTAGGTAAATGCTTACAAGTGTTTACATTTATGCTTTTGGTGTACAAAACCACTGAACCTCCACCATCACCAAAGTGCCTGTGTCACTTCTCATCTTCCTCCCCTACCAAGTCTCCTCCTTCCACTCTTTTGGAACCTCAATTCTGTAAAAAGTCCAAGGGTTTTTTGTCATTGGATACTATCTGTTCCTCTGCTTTCCCCCCCTCTGTATACCGCATGAGTGAGTCCATCTGGCATTTGTCTGTGTTCCTCTGACTTAGTTTTGCTTAACATGATACTCTCTAGCTTTATACACACTGTTACAAAAGGCAAGAGTTTGTGTTTTCTTACAGCTGCATAGTATATACATACAAATACCACACACACATGCACATGTATATAATAGTCATTGGACATTTGGTTGTTGTACTTAGCACTGCAATGACCATAGACGTGTATATGTGTATATTTTTTTCAAGTTAATGTTTTTACAGTCTGATCTGAAGAGGGCTGGATGACAGCACAGTAAGTAGGGCATTTGTCGTGCACACGGCTGACCCGGGTTTGATTCCTCCATCCCTATCGGAGAGCCCGGAAAGCTACTGAGAGTATCCCATCCACACAGCAGAGCCTGGCAAGCTCCCCGTAGCGTATTCGATATGCCAAAAACAGTAACAACAAGTTTCACAATGGAGACGTTAATGGTGCCCGTTTGAGCAAATTGATAAACAACGGGAGGACAGTGCGATGGTGCTAATGTTTTGAGTTCTCAGGGTAGATGACAAGAAGTAGAATCACTGGATATATGGAAATTCTACTTTTGCATGAGAAGTGTCCATACTCTTTCCCATAGAGGATAAGCCTCCAAGTATTCCCACTCACAGTGAATGAGGGTTCCTTTCTCATCACATCCTCACAATATATAAAGACTTTCAAGAGCCTAGCCTCAATTGACTAGAACATGTCTTGGTGCTACTACCAAGCAGGTAATCTTCAGCGATTATTACTGAAATCGGTCAGTCTCAGCCCAGTCAAGACTGCAGTGTAAACCCCAGAGTAGTTTGCTGTCCAAAGTCTGCAAACGCCTCAAATGAATCTCATCCAACAAAATAGTTTTCCGATAGGAATAATTTTGTAAGTGAGCTCCAATTAAGACTTGTACCAGTTAATATGCTACTGTCTCTCGGCTTCAGTCCTGCCTCTTTGGAAGTCTGTAAATTGTCTGCCTCCCTGCTTGGCTCTGTCAAAACAGGGCCTGAGAGTCACTGCACAGCTTGGGAAGGAAAAAGGCACTTGCTCCTCCTTGTTTGCTTCTCGTGGCTAATTTCATCCTCTGGCTGCAGGCTAGCAACAGTTCTTCACTATAGCAGTTCCGGCCAATGGCAGCTGCTAATTTAAGCCTGGGATTTTCCACCCCTTACTGAACCAATCTCTAGGGGTCTTCCTGAGATACCAAATTCAAACTCGACACCTGGTTTCCAGGTTGGTGGGGTCCCTCCTCTGATCCCAGAGACACAGGACCGAAAGAGCAGAGACCAGTGCTTGG